ACAGTAATACGAAAGATATTATATGAGTGCCTGTTTGTATAAATTTTTTGTAGTTCACATGAATAAAGGCAGGATTGCTTAAATAATAATAATAATAATAATTATTATTTTTATAATTATAAGATCTTTGCTAGAATTTTTTTAAAATATATTATAATTTTTCTAATTAAATTTTGTACAACAATGGCCCAAAAAAAGTGATTTTTCTAGCAAAATCCCATATATTTTATTAATAATATACATTTAAAATAAGTAAACTAAACATATTAATAACTTATATCTTAATTTTTTTAATAAGAAAAAATTTATATAAAAATTAAAATTTAGTTTTACTTTTTAATAAGCTATTAATTAAATATAAATAATGTTATAATTGAAAATGTATAATTAACTGTTAATAAAATTTTATATTTTTAAAAATATTTTAGTTTTGACTAAAACAAATTACTGTATTTATTATTAAAAAGAATAAAAACCAATTTTTAAATATTTTAATTCAAGCCTGTTATTATAAATATTTTATTATAAATTTTTTAACCCAATTTTTTTTTATTAAAAATGCAATTAATTTTTTATACAGTATATACCATATTATGTACAGTATAAAAATAAAAAAAAATTAAAACAATAAGCTTAAATACGTAGAACTTTAAAAAAATTTTATAATTTCTATTATAGTAATAATAGTGAATTTAAAACTGGGAGACGTTTAGTAATATCAATATCTATTTTGTACAAAGTTAATGTTATCGATATATCTATTGGAATATTGATAGTGTCCTATCACGTAACCAGCTATGAACCAAAAATAAACACATTTTTATAGTCTCCTTTTTTTTAAGCAATGTATGCAGCATTATCAAACTACTATAAACAGTAAAAGAGAATGCAGATAATTTGAGAGATTATGGTTTAATTTCGAAGTATCAATTAATTTGAGTACATTAATTAATGAGATTCCATTAAAATTAATAAATTATTCATAATAAATTTTCAAGACGAGAAATCTATCGATTCTGCATTAAGAATCACACCAACCCTTCGGAAATTCAATCCGAAGTTCGAAGGCAGTTATATATATAGTTTAGAGTTAGGAATAGATTGACACTGCATTTAAACATAGCTATTCTCATAATAAATTTTAGAACAAACTAATCCCGAAATTTTCAGTGTTGGTATTTGAACTATGCCCGATAATAAATTCATTTTGGACATGGACATCTAAAATTTTATATGTCCAAATTTGTCCAAATAAAATTTTACGTATATCCATTGTCAACACTGGGATCCCGTATTAAGAATCACGTCAACTCCGGAATTCCTATTCGAAGGCAGGTACATAATATTGAAGAGTTAGGAATAGATTGACACTGGGATTTAAGCATAGCTATAACGTAACAAAATCGATAACAACCCAATTTTTTTATAGGAAGTTAACGAGGTTAACGTTAACCCTAACCTTAACTTTAACCTAATCCTAACTTAAATTGGGCAGACTTGTGATAGTCAGGGGAATATGGATTCCGATATTGGGTTTAGAAACATATGATTTTAAGTAATACGTATACAGAGTAAAGAATTAGTATATCTTAAATTTGGGCAAAATTTAAAAATATCTAACGGCTAAAAAAAAAAAAAAGAATATTCACATAGAAAATCATTTATTAGACGTTTATGTAACCCATTATTGGGTTTAAAAATAGATCCAGACTATTGTTATGTTTACAATTTTCAAATGGCTAAATTAATCCAAACTTAAATTTTGGGACGAAGATCTAGAACAAGTTTAGCCAGATTTAGTCTAAACTCAACTGTCAAGCCAAGCCAAAACATAAACGGAATATTTCGTAGATTTCAATGCCGATATACGTCAGCACTTCGACAATTTGATTTCTTTTATCATTCATTATATTTTTATCATTCATTGTATTTTATCATTCATTGTATTTTATCATTCATTGTATTTTATCATTCATTATATTTTACGTACGTACGTAGTATACGTACGTACATTAGCAGGCTAAAAAATTTGACAAAGTAAGATGTCATTTGTGTTAGCCACCTTACTTGATGCCGCAGGTGCATATGTACGTAACTTATGCAGCACTTCATTTAATATATATGATATATATATATATATATATCGATATGTTACACTAATTTTAAAAATGACATGCCAAAATTGGCTATACCCAACCTAATAAAGAGAATTTTTAAGAATATCGATATTACCTAATGATTAGATATGTTCATGCGTAAAAATCCGCATCGGTTATAATTTCTGATTTTTTTATACGAATTTTAGATATATTCATCTTATTCGTTAAAGCTGTAAAGACATAGTTAAGATCGACAAAGCAATTCCTAAAGAGGAATATAAAATGACAATGGTATTTCATATTAATTTACATTTCAGTGTTTTTTAAAACGCTATGGTAACCAGATGATTCACATTACACAAGAAAGGGTTCCGGGAACGTAAATAAAAACAAATATTATTTCACGAAATCAAAATTAAGACAACTATTGATAAAATTTTTCTTATTTATATTATCGGTAAAATAAGTTTCGGGAAACCGACTTATTATTTGGTAAAAGGAAAAAATTAATACCGATAACGATAAGAATAGTTTTTACCATTTAGCCGCAGTTTTACGTAAAAAGCGTAATTTAAAATGAAAATTTTCTCCTTTTTTATTTTACAAAAATGGAGTTAATGATATATAAACGACTGTAAATGGTAGATCTTTAAAGGAAATGACCGTTATAATGGAGCTAAATCCGTACAAGTACAATATCTACTATGTATTAATTGAGTCAATTATTTATTTTTATAAATAACTTGCATACTGTATATTTAAATTTATATTTCGAAGAAGATTAGATTAGATTGTATAGCAATAAATTTCAATAAAGACAAAAGCAGGTCTAATGAAGAATATATAAGAATATATAAACAGGTTTCGCAAAAATGTAAATAGAAAAGATTTAATTGAATAAATTTCATGATGAAAATATCAGAGTAGTACCAAAGTGAAATAAGATTCATACATAATCGGATTATTAATCTGTTTTGAATAAAGCCTTGAATTTAGATATGAATGACAACACCAAAATGTGTAAAAAAGTGTGTGTCAATGAATAATATTGTTATGTGTTAAACTTAATATGATAAAACATTGGCCTATTACGAATTGAGAGGAAAGCACAACATTTTACAAAAAGTGGGAGATTAATTAAAATCCCCTATTAAACATTGCACAGGGTTTTAAAGTTCTGGCGAAAGAATAAGCGCGAAATCATATAAAGTAATAAAATAAAAATTGGTAGCACGACATTAATTTTTTTGCATTGTTTTAAGGAATAAAGGAGTTCTTTTTACAATTTTAGGTGGTTTGAAAATTAAAGATTACGCGAAATTAAAATTTGCCATTCGTGAGTTGAAAAATTTTCGAACCGATTTGATGCGCATACAATGATACTAAATGCTATCAAATTAAGCAAAGTATAAAATTCAGATATAAATAAGGTATAAATCAGGTATAATTCGGGCAAAACTTGTCACACATAAAGTTAGAGTCTAGATTAAAGCTCAGTAATCAAAACGGTTTAATTGAAGGTCCGAAATTCTTATACAGTTATAGGAAGGGTATTTCCGGAATTTAATTACTTTGAGCATCCATTTTTGGTAGATCATTCATTATAACGATAAGGCGGGTAATCATGAATACATAATTTTTACATAAAAATAAATAAATCTCGCCAAATAAAAACATAGCATTCATTCGAGAACATTCAAAATGTAACTTAATAAATAAATAGGAATAAATTTATGTGTTACCATAAGTACTTCTGTGATTAATGATAAAAGAACATCTGACGCTCAAATTGCATCATAACCCAAATATTTACTAACGGTAGATGGTAGGTAAACATGATATATATATGCTGAGGGAGGATTAAAGATGAGTAATATTTTATAATTTCTAACATTTTTTAAATTGAATGAATATTTATTACTTACATGAATTCTAATGATAGTACGGAGTTCGGAATTTTTTCATAGCGATAGTAAGTATTATTTGCATGATTCCAATAATTATACTGATAACTATACTGATTATACTGATTATACAGGGAATTTAGTTTAAAAAATCCAGTTATGTAGAATAACATTGTGCGAGACTAATAAAGGAGAAAGTACCGAATATGGTTATTCTTATCCTATAACGGAAACTTTATATTTTTCTTTATATATATTTTAATTTTTTTATATTTAATATTTTAAATATTTACACATTATATATATAATCATGCATCCTCCTGAGGTAAATGAACTGTCTTTTTTGAGCATGTATGTACAACGAATTTGCATCAATGACTTTATCATTGATTTTTATTGAATCTTTTAATGAGGTGACAAACAATCTGCATGATGCAGTAATGATGTTTAAGTATCACTCTACGTATATACTGTATATGTAAAATTTGTTCCGACAATTATTTATTTTAAAGTAACGGTAATACCAGATTTGGAGGTCAAAAGTCGTAATTCTAAGACGGGTAATTCATTTTTTCTTTGACATCAATAATGTTATGAACTCACAAAGTGTTCCATTACACCACTATTTCTTCATTATTATTTTTCTTCTTTCTTTCATTATTTCCATTATCCTACATCTTAGTATTAAAACGGATAAACTTTCGCCGATTTTCCCAATTTAGTACACTATTTCCCGATATTGATATTTTTTTCTTAACTATACAGTGTATCACGTGTTATTGTTTAAAATAGATTGGTCTATTTTTATATATAATGGCTCGATCCGAATAAATAAATTTTGACTTTATATCTATATACTATTTTTTCGTCATTTTCAACTTTTTTTTTTTCGGCACAGCATATCGATACATATAGATAATACTAAAGATATACTATATATACTTTTTCATATACAATTAATAAAATTCAAATATAAAAAAAAAGTATTTATACTAGTATGCAAAGAGAGTGGGTACGTACATGGAAAAACTTTTTAATTCACCTTTAAGTTTTTTCATTTATCATTTATCATTTATCATTTAGTGATTAAATAAAAATTTTTATTTTTACAATTATATATAACGATAATTATTTTTTTCTTTTTTAAAAAAAAAAACCTTTTAGCAAGAATTTCAACAAAACCAAGAATTACAACAAAACCAAATGACTGAAATACATCGATACCAATTTCCAAATAATGGAAGTCAATTTTCAACATACTCAAGCGGCACTAACGGGTTTAATACCAACATAAAAATGGGCGTTAATGTCAATTCCTTGCAATATGATGGTTCAAACGGAAGGCGAACTCCTTATACTGAACCATCTTATATCTCACCTTTTGAAACAGACAGAACAGCAATTAATTATCATTCTCGTTCTCAAATTCCTCAATCTCCTTCTTATACTTCTACCGGTTATATAAGTGACGACCGGTCTTCTTATAGTAACACTTCTGATATAATAACTACTGATGAAGACGTTGCTACTCCAATTAATAACGGTTCTCCCGTTTTTACAAATCCAAAACTTACTATGTTTGACGAACCTGTTTATAATGATGATGATTTTGATATAAAGTCCAGGGAGAAATTTCGCTCTCTTCCTTTATTACATACTACTAGTGTAAGACGTACAGATTCAGTTTCTTCCCATAAATCCTATAAATATACTTCTTCTCCTAATGATGTTACTTCTATAAATTCTCCTGTTTTTGATGATCGAAGAAACAAATTTATATCTTCTACCATGCGTATAAAAGATGATAAACCTCGTAAATTTCTTAGCACCCCTCCTCCATTTTCCTCTTCTCAATATTCTCAATCAAATTCTTCAAAAAAAAGTATTCCTTATGATGATAATCGACTATATAATATTAAATATAGACGTTCTTTAGATACTCTTCATTCTGTTTACGAATCTCAACAATCAAGTATTTCTCCTTCTGATGCTCCATTAATCAGTCGTCCTGTATCTCCTCCTATTATATCAAGTCATCTATCTCCTGTTCCACAAATTGGTCGTTCTATATCTCCTACTATGAGATCTTATTTAAATGATGATTTAAATCATTCAAGATCAAATAGTAATTCGGCTAGATCTGCTCATTTTGTTGGTACTTTTGGTGATAGAGCTTATCATGTTAATGATTCTTTACATAGAACTAGACATTCAAGATCAAGATCTGCTTTTACCCTTCCAATAAATACTGATAAATTTATTGATTCTATTAAAAAAAAATCAAAAGATCAAAATCCTATTTACTTAAAAGCTCTTCATGCTTTAGAAGCTATGCAATTCAATGAAGCTATCAGTTTATTCACTCAAGTTTTATCAATTTTTCCTAATAGTTATTCCCTTATATGTCATAGAGCTTATGCTTCTTTTCAAGCTGAAAGTTGGAATCAAGCTATTAGTGATTTAAATAGAGCTATCTCAAAAAAACCAAGAAGATCTCGTGCTTATTCACTTAGAGGTGAAGTTTATCGAAGATTAAATAAATTTGAAGATTCTTTAAATGATCTTAACATGTCTCTAAAATTAAAAAAGAACATTTTCGCTTTAAGAACTAGAGCTGAAGTTTATAGTTCATTAGAAAGATATTATGATGCAATTAGTGATTTGGATTCAGTTTTAGAAATTGATCCAAAAAATGTTTTAGCTATTGTACGTCGTGCAAAAGCTTATTGTTCATTAGGTCTTTATCAAGATGCTTTACTTGATTTAGAACTTGCTTTAAATTTTGATCCTGTAAATACTTCTTCAATATTAATGAATCGTGGTGAAATTTATAGACTTATGGGACGTTATGATTTAGCTCTTTTGGACTTTGATTCTTCATTACAAAGTGAAGAAAATTTATTTGCTTTGGAAAGAAGAGGAACTGTAAAAAAAATTTTAAAGAGAGATAATGAAGCTTTAGCTGATTTTACTAGAGTTCTTCAATTAGATTCCAAAAATTTCGCCGCTCATAAAGGTCGTGCTGAAATTTTATATAATTTAGGTAATCATGAAGAATCTCTTAAACATATGAATTTAGCTTTACAAATAGAACCTTTTGATTTTTCTTTATTAAAAGGTAGAGGAAAAATTAATCATGAACTTGGTTATGGGGATAATGCTATAACTGATTATAATTTAGCTTTAAGAATTTGTCCATCTGATGTAGAAATACTTATATTTCGTGGTGAAATTTATCGTTCGAATGGAAAATATGATAAATCTATTCAAGATTTTTCAAAAGTATTAGAGATTGATCCGAGAAAAGTTCGAGCTTTATCTAGTCGTGGTGAAGTCTATCGAATGATGGGTCAGAGTGATAAAGCATTAAATGATTTAAATGAAGCTATTAGAATTGATCCTGAAAATATTGAAGCTTTACAAAGTCGTGGTGCTATGAATAGAACGCTACGAAGATATGAAGAAGCTTTAAGAGATCTTGATGATGCTGTATATTTAAGACCTGATAGTGTATTTGCTCTTGCAAATCGAGGCGCAATTTATTACATGCTCAGAAGATATACTGAAGCCTCAGTTGACTTGAGAAAAGCTCTGAAGATGGATCCTAAATATGTTTTTGCGTTAGAAACTTTGGGTGCCTTATATAACGCATTAGAAAAATATGATGAGGCACTTGAAACTTTGGATGCTGCAATAGATTTGGATCCTTCAAATCGTTGGGTATTAACTCATCGAGCAGAAACTTTATTAGCAATGGGAAAAGGTGAAGAGGCATTACGTGATTTAAATAAAGTATTAGAAAAAAATCCTGATTGGGGATATCCTTTGTCGCTAAGAGGTGGTATCTACCGAACATTAAAATCGTACAAGAAAGCATTGGCGGACTTGAATAATGCATTGGAAAATTTTAAAGATAAAGCATTTAATGTTGGACATATAACTAAAGCGTTGTGTAATAGAGGTGCGGTCTATTTCGCAATGGAGAAATATAATGAAGCCTTATCTGATTTTAATAAGGTATTGATTCGTGATCCAAAAAATTCATACGCATTAAAAGAACGAAGTGCGGTCTATCAAGCTTTAGGAAGAAATGACAAGAAAATGGTAGAAGAATCAGGGAATGAATTGATGGCCGATTAAATAAATTGTTTTTTTACAATCTATTTTTTTTTTTTTTGTCTTGTAAAGTTTTTTTTTTTTGTTTTATGTTTTGATCGAGTGATTAGATCCTAGAGATCTAATACTGTAGCAGTAGTGATAGCACATCCACAAAATAAAATTGGTTATGAATTAGTATAATAATATAATTCACAAAGGACATTTCATAAAAAAGTATTTTTTTTTTCGTGGACGAGCTAAGGATGGGAGTTAAATAATTTCTGTATATTAAAAAATTCATATGGGGAATAGTAAACGAACATTTCACACTTGTAACTATTACCCTTATAAATATTATCTTTATTATAAAGTTTTATTTGTTTATAACTCGTAAAGGAATCGAATTATTTACTTAGATTATGAAATTTAATAGTAATAATAATATTCTAGCCTGCAGGGTATTAATTGGGAGAACGAAGTTCCCGCTTATACATGTACGAAATGAACGATCTGAAGTATTAATCCTCCATAGTCTTGCTATAGATAAAGTAATCAGGAATTACAGTATATAATAAATAGTTTACGTGACCTTTAGACTTTCAATAGCCTTTCTTTAGATTTTTTTTTTTTTTTTTTAAATATATATTATGTATTATATTATATGTATTTCACCTAACGAATAATAAATATTATACCGATATAGAATAAATGCATAAAAGATAAATTGTTTTTCCATACCCGCGTTGTTTCGATCATCTGCGCGTCAATTTGAATATACCAACCCCTAGCATGGTAATCGCTATTTAAAATCTGATACTCAGATAACATTCAAAATTATTCAGTGACCTTTATTATCTAACTTTACATATATACTACGTATAACATGAATTGATGAATTTCGAATTTATTACAAATAAAAAGTATTTTTGGTTTGATTATGCCAGGTTATTGTAAGGTTTTTTGTCTGATTCAGATTTGTTGTATCGTTTGCCATCTTTTGAATTGGTTTGAAAATTTGATGCAATGTTTTTTTAAACCATTTCTTTTGCTGCAGAAGATTATATACTAGAGTAGTTTTTTTTATATTGTCGATAATTCTAATTAGTTTTCATCTTCATTTGGTTCGTCATCTTCTGCAATATTATTGTTAAGAACCGTTGAGTTGATTGTTACAGAAAATAGAGGCCCAATCCGGATAAATTCGTCATCCGTTTATCCGTATCTGATTATCCAAATAATTTCATATATCTGGATATCAATAGTAAAACGGATATCCGAATAAATAAATTCAGATCCGGATATTCGATGGATTAATGGATTAATGGATAATGGATAGGAATACTGGGAAAATTGTGCTTTGTCAAAGTGATATGCGAATTTTCTCATATATGGTTTTTTTTTCGGCTTTTTCAATTAGTGAATAATACCGAACCCTGGATATCTCGAACAAAGAAGGTAAGAACACTTTATTTATAAATAACTATATACACTAATTATACCGAACAATAATAATAAAATTCTATAAACCGGATCCGAACATGATATAGGCAGTATATTTGATCTATAAATAAAAAATTCCGACATTTACTTAGTGCATTCCTTTTAGAGATTAGAATTTTTTTTTTCGCGATATTGTGTAATGTGAAAAAGAAAGGTTATTTTATTTACTTTCAAAGTAAAAAAGTTAATGCCCGCAAGAATGCTAACTTTAAATATTAATGAAATTAGCTTGAACGGGAGAAAGATCCCGATGAAGTTATTTTACAGGTATATCGCCCCTTAGTTGCTTCTAAGTTGGCTCAAGTAAAAAAAAAAATACTTGACGACAGTGACGTATACTAGGGACGTGAAAATTATGGATCCATAATTTTGGGAATTAGCGGTTTGATTGGTTAGTCTATTAACTTCGTGAATTTTGGAATGGCGAAATTATTCAAAGTCACGTGAATAACATGACGTGGCCCGAATTATGAAATTTAATTTCTTAATGCCGGCTAAATCCAAATAAAATCGGCGTCCCTCGTATACTGAAAGTATATCACGTGTGTAGCATATGATTGGTTAATTTTATATACCGAACGTTATAAAGAGGAAAATTTGCTAGAACGGCTTGTTCGGATAAACATAATCGCAGAGCCTTACAATTTCAATTGCTATTGAGTTTGTATGTGATTTATTGATGTTGTTTTCTAATTTTGTCAAGATTTATAATTACATTAAGATCCCTTCTTCAATATTAACCAGATTTGTTTTATTACTCGACAGGGTAATCATAATTTTATAAAATATTTGGTATTAATCATAAACGACTAATAAATTGCATCATATTAACTCGGTACGTAACTGATTTTGGTGGTCATGTGAAAAATACCCATGCGAGATAATCATAAATGTTACTATATTATAAATTCATATAAATTCACTGATATATGTTACATGTAATATCGTAATTATAATGAATTACGACAAAAAATGCCGTAATTCATTATAGAATTACGACAAATTACTGCATTGTGCTCACACCACTAGTTACGTGAGGTGCGCGTTATTTCGGGCGTTATATTTCGAAACCAATTATGTTATTTTTAGGGGCGCGATTTTCGAAATAACGCCCATGCTCGCCAATGTGTGAAATTCAATACCAAAAAAACCTGATTAACGTTCTCAGATAACGTTCTCAGATAGAGAACATATTTTAATAAATTAATGTTCTTAAAATTTGTTTAGTGTTCTCAGAGAACATTGAGAAGACACTGAGAAGAACATTGAATTTCGTACACTGATGCTCGCTATGTCGTAAAATTATGGTATAATTCATTTTGAGCTTTATACCAATCATTTAATAGCCTGATCCTTCCGTTTGAATAAAAAATGTCTACTTATGATTTGTTGTATAGATTTTGCTGTACAGTATCTTTCGTTCGTCTATCCAAATCTGTAGCTGTACAAGTATCTGTAGTACTACTTACCAGTTACCATATACCTATAAACGATAGCTAACGTTTTTGAGATCTATAAATTAGGTTAATGAGTAGTGTTATTGTTGTCCATAAAACACGTAACGGTATCGGTTTGCGAATAGTAAAAAATTGTTACACGATAATACAGTAATTTTCTCACATGATAAATGTAACACAAACCACGTGAATAACTCGTGGTAAATTAACTAAAATGGACTAATCAGGTATCATATGACCAAATAGCTATATAAATAGGGTAAACTTGTCAACCATGATCTTATTTACTTATTCTTACGTACTGTACAAATTATGAAAAAATGGATACTCAATATTCAATTCAAGATAATCGAATAAATGTTTTATTTGATCGTGCTTCCGATAGTAAAAAAGATCAACAATTACGAATAGAAGCTTTAATTTCATTTCAACAAATAGTCGAAAATGAAAAACATCTTTTGGAACCCGGTTTATTTCAAATAATTTGTGGATTTTTAAAAGATTCAATGTTTGAGATCAGAGAATGGACTATAGATTTTTTAGAGTATGCATTCACTACTTGTGGTTTGAATAGATCTTTATTAAAAGATAGTATCCTTTTTTAAAAAAAAATAGATAAATAAATGGTTTCTTTTTTTCTCATACGACGCATTTATTTATATTACTCTTTGTGATTTATTTGCTAGATTTATAACAATTTTTTTTTTTATATAGCAGAATAAGTTTATGAATTATATATATAGAGCAATTTTTGGCATTATCATATTTAAATGATCGAATGTTCTTGAATTAAGATCGTTCGTTATTTAATGTTCATTTGATATGGCCATGTGACAATTGCTTTGTTAAATGTCATGCTCACATAAATATAATAGATAGATCGTTGACAGAATAGTGAAAAAAAGTAAATAAAAATGTAATTAAAATAGATAATAAAGTTGTCCTTAATTTTGAAAAAAAAACTTGTGCCATTAAAGGTTTAGGAAAAATTTTACCTGCAGTAGGATATACAGTTAGTTTCGAAGAATCAACAAACATTGTTAAGAAGGCGATTCTTTGGAATGCTGGTGTTTATCCTTTGATTTACGAAAGAGTGTTAGTGATCTTTTTCTTTTTTCTTAATACGTATCCGGTTTCGCTGTTGGTCGGTCACATGACTTGTTTAATCTGACTTGTTCCCCATTAAAAATAAATTTATTTTTTGCGATAGATGTGAGAATGCGTATGATGCAGAACAGCTTTGGAGTACATCAATATCAATTAAATCACAAATAATGCGTTGTTTCGATTCTCCGGGTACAAAACAAGGAATCAAGATTTGTGCCGTAAAATATTTGCAATCAGTAATAAAAGTTCAATCACGTCATGTTCATGATTCTCAGGTATGTCTTTTTACATTAGCGATCATACGAGATAATCAAATAAACATTAAATGACTTTGACCGTTTATAGATGACACCACAAAATGCACAAAATGATATTTCCTTAGCTTTATGTCCATCATCACACCCAATTTTGAATCCTTTAATGCTTGAGAAAGAAGCAATTGCTATAGTAAATGGATTATACAATTTATTTGATAAAGAGTTAGTAGAATCAATTTGTTTTATTAGTTAATTTCCTGGCATTTCTATTTTCTGAAATTGTTATGCTTTGTAGATCAAGTAGCGTAATAACTGCTATCATAAACGCATTAGGTCCTATTTTTAGATCCAGGCCACAATATATTTATCCATTGATTAAGATAGTCAAAAAATGGAAACATAATCCTCCGGATCATTTACATGAAACTCCATTTAAAAGTGTGAAAAAAGCTATAAAAATTCAATTAACATCACTTTTAAGGTATAATTTTTGCTACCAATGTGTTTTTTTTAATAGATATATTTGTAAACTTAAAATGAAATTAATTTTTAGAATTCCAGTGTTTGAGTCTTCATCATTTGCGAATGAAATTTTCGACTCTATACTTATTTTGGGTGGTAAGAATGATCCAATGAAATTTCCAAGGCAATATCGACGACTTTTACAACAGAAAGAGGGGATGGAAGATGGTACTAGAAATCCTATGCAAAAGGTTTATGGAGGTTCTCAACGTTCCGGTATTTTGGTTCATGTACATTTAATTCTTGTTATAAATATTATTAACGAAATACAATAAAAAATAGCACAAGGATCATCGATGTTACCTATTGATCCTACACAATTCGCATTACCTTTCGTGGTTGATATAATACATTTGGCTTTACAATCTATTCCACAAGAAAGACTTAACCAAGCAAAACAGGTCTGTAATAATAATTACATTATTCACTTGAATTATTTACGTGATTTATTATTATTACTTTATTTTACATTAAAATATTTCTTATTAATTTAAATTATCTGGTATATGTATAGGTTCTACAACAACGTGAAGCGCGATTAGCCGCCCTTCGGACTTTACCAACACCACCACCGACAAATAAACAAGAGCGTAGAAGTCGTAAAACTCTTGATCCACGCTTAGAGTTTGTTAGAGACGTAACACCTAAATCTCCTTCTCCTCCTCCTGTCGTTATGACAGAAGATGAAATGATGCTTATTAAAACTGAATCTTCAAATTCGACTCAATCGGAAGATTCAACAATAAAACGTGAGTTTTCGCCTCCTAATTTGTATGATGATGATATGGAAATTGATGATGTTGCCACAGTGGATATTGAAGTACCTCAAGATCAACAAATGGATGTCCTTGAAGCTGAAAATAAAGACGATTCAAAGCCCGAACCAGAACCACAACCTTTACCACCACCAGTTCCAACCTTTAAATTTCAACCTTATGCGCTTCCATCTCCTGAAACATTATCAGAAGACCAATGTCACTCATTTATTAAAAATGCACTTAAAAATATCTTGAACATTGATGAAATGTTATCACCAGACACAAAAGGAAAGCGATCCGACGTTGTTCTCACAACTTTATCCAATGGCAAAAGGATGTCCAAAAGCCAAATACATTTAATGGCTTCAAGATTATTAACAAGAGGTCTTGATACCTCTCCTGAAAACTCAAAAAAAACATATGATGAATTAAGAGAAATGTTTATTCAATACATTCTTGAAGATTTTAAAAACAGGTTAATAAAATTGATTGAGAAAATAATGGTATAAGGTTTTTAATATCGTATAAATTTATTTAATTTGATATAATCAGGACGGAATTCGCGTTAACTTGGTTTGACGAAGAATGGTATCATGATTCCATCATTTTATCAGAGGACCCATCATATGTGAGTCCTTGTTATAATTTTAATATTTTCATGTTGTTTACAATAAAATATTATAGTAACTGTTATGTATACTCTCAGAAACCAAACTATGTGACTTGGCTTAGTAGATTACTTGATAGAATTATGCCAACTCTTGAGGATCGAATTTTTTTTACTCAATTCTTATTAAATGTTCCAGAATTACAAGAAGATATTGTAGATCGTATAAAAATATTTTTGAATGATCCTGATAGGTTCGTAAAGAAAATTAAATCTATAATATCTATAATGATGTATACTGTAAAATATCGTTATTTATATAAATTAAAAACTTTATATAGAATGTCCCTTGGTTTTTACACTATAAGTGAATTAATTAATCAACGTCCTCCTTCACGACCATTTTGCATGAAAATTTTACTAGCATATTGCTTGCATAAAGGTTAGTTGTTAACTATTAATTATTAATATTAATTATTATTTTGAATTATCACACAAGTTGAACCCTCAATAAAACCATTACGTGTTAGACATCAGAACTCGAAGTTCAGCAATTTCTACTGCAAACAAATGGTTTCCTGATCATCCTACAATAGGTCCGAATATTGAATCATTTGCATTGCAATCTATAAAACAACTTCGTGATGAGAGTCCACCTCCATTATTTGATTATCATTATCATGTTGGTGGTGTTAATGATACAGCTATGAATACAGCTATGATTGAAGATGAGGATGATCAATTAAAGTGGAATAATAATGATGTTGAACGTCATTTGGACTTATTCCTTTCTCTATGCTCAAAGAAAAGTGAACTATTTGATCAGTAAGTTAATATCTCTTATATCTACTTTATGATACATCACACTGTCTAATGACGAAATGTTTAACGAAATATTTAATGGATTGTTTAAATTTTCTTTAAGGTTACTTTCAATATATGTCGAAACACCTGAATCTATGCAAATATTAATTCGAAAAAATGCACCAAAAATGGTTGAAACAATCGGAATAAACGGACTATTGCATCTTTTTCATACTTTTCCAGAAGGCGCTGAAGATTTTGTTTTAAAGATGTTGGTGGTTTATACGAATAAACAAGGTAATAAATAATTTATTAATAATTAATATAATTAACATTCGTCTACTAATTTGATTTTAATATTTAATTTAGTAACACCACCTCCTCAGTTAGTTAATACTGCAAAATCAGTAATTACGGAAAAGAATTTGGAAGGAAGGTTTCTTTTCCCTATAATTGCATTTTTTGAAAAGGTAAATTTGATTTTTAAACAGAATAAATATTTTACAAATAAGTTTAATAATTCACATTATCATAATTCAAATTTTCATAATTCAAATTATTATAATTGATATGAAGGGTGAAATAATACGCAATCTTCCCAAGGTAATTGCTACACTTGATGCAACAGATAAGCAGCGAGATATTGTCAAGAAGGTGTTTCTAAAAATTTTGACGCCGCCATCAAATGGTACTGCACCAATGACACCGAGCGAGTTATTAGTTTCATTACATCAAATGGATAAAGCTGGCATTTCGTTGAAACAGTCGGTTGAAGGTTAGAAATTATTATCTACATTACTATAAATAATTATATATAAATCTTAATTATTGCTTTGATTATGATAATTAGCTATCCATATATGCTTCTTGTTACCTAATGTATTTAATCAACAAACGTTGGGAACAGTGTTGCAGCAGTTATTTATACAAAGTGAGCTACCAACTACTTTTATGAGAACGGTAATTCTTTGAATAATATTATAATATTCTTAGTCTCTTAATATGTAATGTATATAATAAAACGATACTTTTTTTTTCCATGGCTCATTGAGCAGGTAACTTTGGCCGTAAGAGCTTATCATGCTTTGGGTGGATTTGTGAATGAAATGCTATCGAGACATATTTCACAGATATGGGAAAATGAAGTTTTGCGTAAAGGATTTATTTTATATGTTACTGAATTTTGCCTAAAGGTATTTTTTTATTAGATAACAATTACCGAATTTTCTTTATTCGTTTAATTAACATTTCTTTTATAATAGGTACAACCAAATAATTTTCGATTTTTGTTGCAATTACCGAAAGAAAAAATTTTGGATATTTTGAAACAACGAGATCAAACGTTATCAAAAGCTTTAAAAAAATATATAGAAAATTTAAAACCTGAACAAAAAAGAACAATTCCTCAATTTTTATTTGATTTATTAGAAATTGGTACTTAGAAATTCCATAGATTTTTTGATGGTAGGATAGGATTTTGTAATTTGTACTAATTAAAGATTGCTAGTTAATAACCGAAAAGACAAATACATAATGTGTTTAATAAAAACTTTTACGGTTCATGTGCAATAATATTTTCGTGTCATTATTATGTGTAAACTTAATCTTGATACACACGAAAAAAATTAACATTATAACTAGCTAATTAATCAGTATGCGGTATTCTAAATAAAATGTTCTACGCCTCTAAAAACCTTCCAACCCTGGTTCCAACCCTATATACTAACTCTAACCCTCAAAATTTTATATAAAAACTTAAAAAATCTATAAAATATATTATAATAGATGCAAAATCGCTATAGATACATTTTATAATAAATGTAATAATTTTGCATCTATTATATTTTTTTAAATTTTATAAATCTTTGCATAAAATTCTTGACGAATTTTTATATATATATTAGGGCTAATATTTAAAAATTAGTGAAAAAAATTTTAAAGTGTCCAATTAATTAGTTATAAAATAATATGCATAAATATAAAACACCGTAAGTGCATTTTAAAGCTTTTTTTTTATCTTTATTTTTTTTATTCACAATTTTGTTTGCTCAATTCCATACATACATAGTTCATTTTATATAGGAAATAAATAGAAATAAACTTTACTATTATTAATAAATCAAGTCAGGTTATTATTGTTCTATTAAGTCCATTAAATTTCTCAAGTCGTTGTCAATTTGTCAGTTCGTGATAATATAATTTAAGCACAATAATATTTAAATACAAAAACGTTCAATTTGATTCTTTTCAACATTTAATATCAATTTTAAGATTGTTTCTTTTTTGTTTTTCGACTCTTTTTACCTGCTTCGAACGCAGCAGCTTGTTCCAGATCACGACCAATATTATCTAAATCTTTAACTTTATAAATTCTTACAATCCAATTTTCTGTTGTATACGCTTCCTCAAGAACACTCAATTTAATTTTTTTCAGCAGGTAATTTGGCACCACGAACTCGATCCTGTCCTTGACCACCAAAAAGTTCATTATAATTATGATAACTCATTTTATACATAAGACTTCTTCGCATTGTCGGTGTAGCTTCATCATCAACTCTATATTCACCACGCGGAGTGAAAAAATTTCCCTCTTTCACATCATCAGGATAAACACCTTCAGCGATACGAATCATCCAAAGGAATTTGTTAATGTCATCACCAGAATAACCCAATAAACCACCAAAAATAACAAGTACGTGAGTTACATCATGCCTTCTCATTATTTCATAAGCAACATCTTCAGAAGATGACATTGCTTTACCAACAGTGGCAATATGAGTATTATTCCAAGTATTATTATCTACTAAAACAGTTCTATCTGCCATACCAGCAATTTGATAACCATAATCCCACCATGACATAATCTTTGCAGAGTCATCAGTGTTTTTTCTTAGCCAATAATAAGCTTCACGAAAATCATCAATAATATATTGAGAACCATCAGCTTGTCGAGAAGCAAGTACGATTGAAGGAGATGAATAGGCATTGGACGTTACCCATGTACAATGCCAAATGAAAATAACCAAAAAGAAAAAGAAATTTATAAGAACTATGCCACGAGAGTCATTTCCGATTATACCAAAGAATTGTTCTTTTTTTTTCTTTTTTTCGGATTTTGAGGAAGTTGCTGCAGAACGAGAACTATCACCAGATTTTTTATGTTGTTTATCTTGATGCTTAGATTTACTATCAGTAGCAGACTTTTGTTCGGAAGGTTCTGGATCCACAACACTAAAGTCAAGATAAGTATCCAATAAACGAGAAACTGTAATAGCGGAAGAAACACAAACAATTGGAGTCAGAGTCAGCATTAAACGAACCATGACACCAGAAAAATAAGAAGCAGTGATGCCATATAAAATGACAAAAACATGTTCATCACGTAATTCTTTGAAACAAAGGTAAATTCCAGCAGGGAAAAGGAAAATCAACATTTCAAGATCAAAGAAAAATGAAGGCCACGCAGTTGGTTGATGTTCAGAAACAGAAGCAATTATAGGAATATATTTCTTTGCGTATCCAGTGTCCCATAGTGAATAAAACCGACCAGTCCATGGAGCAATGTATCCACTAATTGTTAATAAGACTAATGCTGAAAACATTATAATGAAGGCAATAAAAATAAAGCCTTTGAATAAAATTTGAAATTGATTGGACGCAAGATGACTTCTTACGAGTTCGACAAAAGCAATTATTTGTAATAATCCAAATATTCCTTTAAATTAAAATTAAATTAAATTAAATTTACATATTTATGATTTAAACGATAACTATTTTATTATAAGCTTACCTAAAGCAGCCATATGTTCACTTGTTCTTGTTGGTTGAAATCCAACAAAAGGGATTTGCATTGACATTAAAGTACCAAGAGCATAAAAAGAAGAATATGATACATAGAGCCTAGTGGAAAACCGGCCCATCAAAATCAGAGCAAACGCATGAAGAGGGATAAGGTTAATAATAAATACGTAACCACCTAAAAATAAAATTGATTTAAAATATATAAAAAAAAATTTTTTTTTCAGAATAAACATATAATAGATAAAAAATTACCCCAAGCTGCCACCATATAAAAATAAAATAAAGCAGTTAAACCACCAAAGAATGCAGAACCTTCCTTAAGGGATTTAATCCATAAATAAAAAGTAAACATGAGTAAAAATATCGCGATGCCTTCATTATCGTATGAACCAGCAACTGAACGAGAAATATAACCAGGAGCTACACCAATAAAGGCAGCAGCCAAAAGACCAGAAGAAGAATCCTTTATTTCAGAGGTAAGAAGAAAAGCAGCAATAGCAGTGAAAGCAGAAAATAGCGGAGCTAATAATACACAAATGTTGCGTATATCAACAGGAAAGTTGAGCGCGTGAAGAATGTTATGTATAGTAGCTGAAGTCACCATCAAACCAGGGTAAACCGTTCCACCGACAACACGACCCAACGGATACCACGATCGTTCATCAAACCAATTCCAAAATTCATAAAAGCTTGTTTGAACCAAACGACGAGTAGCACGATAATTAAACCAGGGATCAAATTCGTGAATAACGCTTTCGAAACGAATAATACTAAATAATCTACTAGAAATTGCCACAAAGGCAATGAGGCCTAGAATTACAACTTTTAATAGAGACGCTTGGTTTTGCGCATCTAAGCCGAGCACCTTCATTCTGAAATACTAATAAATGGAAACACGTTTGAAACGAAAATTTTAAAAATTTCGCGCGAACATATCAAATATTTATGAGCACCAGTCATTTCGCGACACGACATCATGTGAAGGCCTACACGTGAATGATGAATTAAATCTACATGTACATACTTTATATCTTACTAAATCAAGGTTAAGTGATAAGCATATGTACAGCCTCTCAAAGCAATTCCTCCTCTTGTTCCTGCCCAATTTATATATATGAATCGTAAAAGCAATGCAAGGTACCAGGTATTTTTACATTCGAAATGTTGTGTGGCAACGGGTATATTACACGAGAGGTTACATTGGAATTTATCCACTTTTATTGAATTTTGATTGGCTAAATTTTTTTTAACCAATCAGATTTGCAGATTTGTCAAAATTTTGGTTAACTTTAACATTCTTCATATGTAACCTTGGTTACGTAGAATTATTCAGAGTCCTGGTATGGTGCAAGGTGGTGCTTCACCAACAGCCATTTCACCGAAAGTTCATTTAGCCGACATCACATAGGGTTAGGGTTAGTATTTGATTAGTTGAAGGTATATATTTTTTTTTAGTAAACTTTCACTTTGACGTGATGTTGACTAAATGAGCTGTCGGTGAAATGACTGTCGAAGTAAGGCAAAAGAGTATATGTTTTTTTATATACAAAGCTTCTTAACACACGAAAGTTTAACAATTTTATGTACTGTAATGCTATGGGGATACTTACAATAATTCAGAACACCAAGGGCCTACGAGAGCCTGATAATTTTTTTACCGGCCTACACGACCTACAAAATAAAATTATTATTGCTATTGCTTGTATTTAACATATATATATGATAATAAATTTTTAATTTTGGCCCTAGTTCTAGTCCTTAAGATTCTTTTCCTCTACAGAGTGCTTCCTAGTCTATTAAAAAGAAAAAGCACCAGAGTCTTTTACAATTATGTAACATATCCAATTCTTGAAACATATCTTGGCTAATGCAAGTCTAATTACAAACATAGTGTAGGTGGTATAATAAATAGTAAATACTGTAGATGAAGAAGAGTGATAAATTAATGATCTAATGATCGTCATGCACTGTTTGTTGCACTAGGTATCTCTTACATTGCGTTTTATTAATACCTTGATACTCACCCACTAAATTAACACGAACAAAAATCACAAAAAATAAATAATTCGAGAAGCACAACCTTTCTTTTAAGAATCATCGTCAATTTATGCAAATCACATTTAGTGAACTCTCGGCATAGTGAAGATTTGATAAAAAATTTAAATTACTTGATATAATAACTTTACAACATATCATTTATATATAGAACCAAAAACTTCACTCTTACAAAATGCTATGCTGTAATTTACTGAAGTGATTTCCAGTTGCCCTATCTTTGTTGAGTGCCTTGGCTTGCACTAAAGGTTGAGATTAGTCGACTAACTAATTGTCCGGAGAGTAGCGTGCATTAGCCTAGTATCGTCTGTCCGTTTAAATAATCTGATTGGCCGACACAGGTTGAATCAATGAATAACGGGTACATATGCTACCAATATGTTACTGATATGTTAAAGTTATTTGGCGGATCTATGGTAGAATAAATACTTGTTATTTAATGGATATCGGTGGATACGGTGTATTCCACAGAATAATAGTAAAATCACGTGGCCGGAGGCCA